CTGGTCTTGAACTCCTGACCTCAGGTGATCCACCCGCCTTGGCCTCCCAAAGTGCTGGGATTACAGGTGTAAGCCAGCGCGCCCGGCCACCACCATGTAGTTTTGAAAGGCAAGGAGTATCCCTGGTGGTCATGGTGCTGTTGGGAATGTTGGCCTGTGTGTGGCCTACTCTGTCCTGGAGACCAGATTCTGGGACTACAGCCACAGCCCCTCTGGGTTTCACCTGCCCCTCCCCGGAATACTGCCCTTACTTCTAGCCGATCAGGCCTAAGATTTGTCAGGCAAAAAGGTGAACAGCACAGCCCTGACTCTGCTCCCTGAGGTCAGTGAATGCATTTTGGTTTGAAATGGACTTCCACCCCCATCCTCTGGACACCATCTCTTAGGCCAGGCATACTTTCTTTTCTCCTTTCTCTTTGTTTCAGGCTTCGAGCTGGTGTTGTAAGAAGGAAATAAAGGTGCTGGGTTGAAAGGGCAGCAGGAGACTGCCCACAGATAGGGGACCAGAGTTTCTGAATTTTGTTCTGCTTTCTTGTAAATTACCCCCCCCTTTCCCTGTATGGTGGGAAGAAGATCTTGAACTTCTTTGGGTCAGGTGTGGATTGTGCAATGACATGGCACCTGGCATAAGCAGAGATTTCTGGAGAGATACTTTAAAACAAGGCTTTGGGCTTGTCCCGCCTTAAGGGTGCCCCAAGAGCTAGGTCTCTGGGTCCCACAAATACTTCCTCCGATCATCTCTCCAGCCATCGCTTCCATCTGCACAGCGTATGGAGGCCACCTCAGGCCTACCTCCTCCAGGCCAGGCCAGGGGGCAAGGGAGGTCTGGGAGTTGAACCTGAGTGGCCTTGGGGACTCTGGAGGAACTAAACCATCTGTTTTCTTGTCTCAGCCACAGAGCAACAACAAAAACAGTCTCGTAAGCCCAGCCCAAGAGCCCGCGCCCTTGCAGACGGCCATGGTACCTCCTGACTACAGCTTCTCTGCCTCTGCCCCTGGCTGCCTCCTGCCCCTTCCCTCTTCCTCCTCTTGTGCCCCCTCCCTGACCTCCTGGGCCTGTTCCTTTCTTGGTCCCCATAGAGCAGACTGCTTTGTGTGCCGCCCTGTATGCCCCTTCCCCTTCATTGTCCCGCCTGGCCGCACTCCGTCCCGCATGGCAGAACTGCTGCTCCTGCTCCTGCTCCTTTCGCTGGTGGGGGGAAGAGTGATCAGGGCTCTCAGCTGAACCTCCCAGGCCCAGCCCAGGACCCCCAGTGGGTCTGCTGTGGGGGCTGGGAAGGTGAGTTGCTTAGGAAAGGAGAGGGTAGGAGCTTTCTTGGGACCTGAACATCAGTTCTTGGAGGCCTCCTTGTAAAACCTGCCTCAGTCTCTCCTTTGCAAAGCCAGAAACAGGAACGAGGGCTGGGGTCCCCACCTCTGGATGGTGCTGAGGTCTCCAGGCTCCTGGAGTGCCTCGTGCTAGCTGAGTTCTCTCTGGGCTCCTCAGGGGTTCTGTGTGCTCTTGGAGCTCCCTCTGCTAGTGGTGGCTAAATAGAGAGTCAGCAGGGGGTGACTGGGAAAGAGGGAGGAGTGATGGTGCCTGCTACTCCCCTCCTTCCTGCGGACCCTCGTGCCACCTGACGTGGCGGTGTGGGGCCAGGAACTAGGGAAGGCAGAAGGCGGGCGCAGCGGGCGGCTCTCTGGGCTCAGCTTGCCGAGGGGGATTCCTGTCCTGGCTCTTTCTGGGAGACCTCATTCTTCTCCCCAGTGTACACCCTGTGATGAACACTGTGGCAGGGCCCGGCCTGTGCCCTCAGTCCCACAGCTCCTCCAGTGTACCTGCCCCGTGGGAACCCCATGTGGAAAAAGCCCTCAGAACTGACAGGAATCAGGGACAGAGGCCCTTGCTGTCTCAGCCTCCTGGGCACCTGCACCTGCCAGGCCTCTCTTTCTTACCAGCCAGTGCTGCTGCCAAAATCCAGGGCTATCCCAGCTGCCTGGGACCCCAGTTGAGCCGGACATTTTGTCTTCTGGAGATGGCTGGTGGGCAGGCCTCAGTGGTCATCACAGGGTCTGTGGGGGTCCTGGGGTGCAGGTGGGGCTCCTCAGGGAAGAGCCATAGTCTGTTCCCAAGTTGGAAGGGTAATTTTCATCTTCTCTCACAGGAGCCACAAACCACTGTGGTACACAACGCTACAGATGGGATCAAGGTGAGTGGCTCCTGAGCCTGTCTCCTGCTTTCCAGGTCAGCAGGAGACAGGTGGGCTGGGTCCCAGGGGTCTACAGGCTGCACCCTGAGGCCAAGGCGTTTGCAGAGGCTCAGCTGAAGGTAGCCTGTGCTCATAGTTGCTCCATTCTGAGGAAGGGCGTTCTACCTTATGGAGCCCAGGCTTTGCAGTCAGACCAACCTGGTCTGAATCCTGGCCCTGCACCTTAGTATCCTGTATCTGCAAATTGGGGATGATAATAATAGAATCTTCCTCCATATGTTGGAAGTTTAAATGAGAGTAAACGTTCACTGAAAAACAGGCAAGAGCATCTCTAGACCCTGGAGCATTCTCCGTGGCCTGGCCCCTTTGTGCCCTTGGTGTTTTCACCAGCATTCCTGAACCAATCTGTTAAGCCTGGATACCATCCATGGCTCTGGTTTAGAGAGGTGACAAGACAAATTACCTGTTCAAACGGTGGGTGGGATGGGAGGCAGATAAAAAACCAATAAGCAAACAGATAAAATAGGCCGGGCACTGTGGCTCACACCTGTAATTCTCACACTTTGGGAGGCCAAGGTGTGGGCAGATCGCCTGAGCTCAGGAGTTCGAGACCACCCTGGGCAACATGGTGAAACCCCGTCTCTACTAAAATACAAAAAAGTAGCCAGGTGTGGTGGTGCGTGCCTGTAGTCCCAGCTGCTTGGGAGGCTGAGGCATGATAATCACTTGAGCCTGGGAGGCAGAGGTTGCAGTGAGCTGAGATCATGCTACTGCACTCCAGCCTGGGCTACAGAGTGAGACTCAGTCTCTCAAAGACATAAATAAGATAAAATCTAATGTCAATAGGTAGTCTGAAGAAAATGGCACAAAGTAGAGAGAAGGCCAGGTGCAGTGGCTCACACCTGTAATCCTAGCACTTTGAGAGGCCAAGGCGGGCGGATCACTTGAGGTCAGGAGTTCAAAACCAGCCTGGCCAACATGGGAAAACCCCATCTCTACTAAAGATACAAAAATTAGTTAGGGATGGTGGTACATCCCTGTAATCCCAGCTGCCTGGGAGGCTGAGGCAGGAGAATCGCTTGAACCTCGGAGGCGGAGGTTGCAGTGAGCTGAAATCGTGCCACTGCACTTCAGCCTGGGCAACAGAGCAAGACTCCATCTAAAAAATGAAAACAGAAAAACCCCACCAAAGTAGAGAGAGAGAGAGAACAGGGCCTTGAATTAAGTAGTCAGGAGGAGGCCTCTTTCAGGAGGTGATATCTGAGCGAAAAACTGAATGGTGGGTGGGAAGGAGGCAACCAGGCCAACTCTGAGGCTGAGTGCCCTAGGCAGAAGGAACTGAAGCTCAGGTGTGGCATGTGTAATCAAGCAGAGGGAAGAGGGAAGTGACACGGGGAGAACCTAGGAGAGTGATGAGGTTGGTGAAGCAGCAGGCCCTGCTACAGAGGCCCTTGTAGGAGTTTGCATTTTCTTCCAGCAGCAAGGAGAAGCTGTTGGGAGTAATAGAATCTATCTGACACTTTAACACATCACTCTGGCCACATCATGATCAAGAACTCTAGGGAGGGCCAGGCACGGTGGCTCACACCTGTAATCCCTACACTTTGGAAGGCCGCGGCAGGTGGATCAGCGGAGGTCAGGAGCTCGAGACCAGCCTGGCCAATATGAAGAAACTCTGTCTCTAATAAAAATACAAAAATTAGCCAGGCGTGGTGGCAGGCGCCTGTAATCCCAGCTACTCGGGAGGCTGAGACAGGAGAATCACTTGAACCCAGGAGGTGGAGGTTGCAGTGAGCCAAGATCATGCCACTGCACTCCGGCCTGGGCAACAAGAGCAAAACTCTGTTTCCAAAAAAAAAAAAAAAAAAAAAAAACTCTTGGGGAAGTTAAGGAGACCATGAAGCTGTTATCGCGGTTCAGGTGTGAGATGCTGGTGGCCTGGAGTCAGGTTGTAGCTGTGTATTGGAAGTGAAGAGGTAAGACATGGGATTTACTTTGGAGGCAGAACCAAAAGATTTTATTTTTAGATTGGGCAATCTGAATATAAGGGAAAAAGAGAAGGATTGAGGATGACACCAGGTTTTAGCCTGAATAACTGGTCTAATTAGGGGCATTTACCAAGTGGGGGAAGACTAGGGAGGAGATTTGGGAAGAGTCAGACAGCCAGGGTGGAAGCAGAGCCTTCCACGGTCTCCTTGCACCTCTTGTAGGAGCACAAACTCTGCTTTCGTTCTGCTTTGCTCCTCTGGCTTCCAAGGGATGGAGCATATAGAAACATATTCTTTTTGGCCTACAGGGCTCCACAGAGAGCTGCAACACCACCACAGAAGATGAGGACCTCAAAGGTAGGTGCTGGCCCTTGGAGGGGGAAGGACTCCAGCAGTGACCCAGGTACCTGGGCTCCAATGGGACACCCACCTTTTCTGCTCCCAGAACTGGGAATGCTGGCTCCTATGCCCCTAGGAGAGGGCTTGGTATAAAAGCTACTTTCCACAAGCCAAGATATGAGGCCCCTGTGTGGTGTTGCTGAGCTGGGCAAGAGGCTTCTCTTCTTTGACCCCAAGTCTAAAATAGCTAAGCTAGAGATTCTCCAGGGGCCAGGGCTCAGAGAACTGTTCCTGTCGCTGATAATGATGTGCCATCCCAGAACAGGGGTACCCTAAGTCCCTGCCAAAGTAGCCCACAAGTGTCATGAGTCATAAATAGAGTGACCAATCATCCTGGTTTTCCCCGGACACAGAACTTTTGGTTTTAAGACTGTGATGGGCCAGGAGTGCTGGCTCACACCTGTAATCCCAGAACTTTGGGAGGGCCAGGGCAGGAGGATTGCTTGAGGCCAGGAGTTTGAGGCCAGCCTGGGCAACATAGCAAGACTTTGTCTCTATTAAAAGAAAAAAAAAAGAAAAGAAAAGGAAAAAAAAAATTTTAGGAACAAATAAATAGGCCAGGCGAGGTGACTGATACCTGTAATCCCAGCACTTTGGGAGGCCGAGGCAAGCAGATCACTTGAGGTCAGGAGTTCGAAACCAGCCTGGCCAACATGCTGAAACCCCATCTCTACTAAAACTACAAAAAAAGGCCGGGCCTAGTGGCTCCCGCCTGTAATCCCAACACTTTGGGAGGCCAAGATGGGTGGATCACCTGAAGGTCAGGAGTTCAAGACCAGCCTGGCCAATATGGTGAAACCCCATCTCTACTAAAAATATAAAAAATTAGCCAGGTGTGGTAGCAGGTACCTGTAATCCCAGGTACTTGGGAGGCTGAGGTGGGAGAATTCGCTTGAACCTGGGAGGTGGAGGGTGCAATGAGCTAAGATCGCCCCATTGCATTCCAGCCTAGGCAACAAGAGCAAAACTTCTCAAAAAGTGGAGGTTGCAGTGAGCCAAGATCGCACCACTGCACTCCAGTCTGGGTGACAGAATGAGACTCTGTCTCAAAAAGAAGAAAAAAAAAAAAAAAGGCCGGGCGCGGTGGCTCACGCCTGTAATCCCAGCACTTTGGGAGGCCAAGGTGGGCGGATCATGAGGTCAGGAGATCGAGACCATCCTGGCTAACACAGTGAAACTCCATCTCTACTAAAAATGCAAAAAATTAGCCGGGTGTGGCAGCAGGCGCCTGTAGTCCCAGCTGCTTGGGAGGCTGAGGCAGGAGAATGGCATGAACCCGGGAGGCGGAGCTTGCCGTGAGCTGAGATCGCGCCACTGCACTCCAGCCTAGGGGACTGAGCAAGCCTCCGTCTCAAAAAAAAAAAAGAACATATTTAAATAAATATAAAACCCAGATAGTCCTGGGAACACTGGGATGAGTTGGTCACTCTAGTCCTAAGATCTTGGCCTGAATGATGGAGTTGGAACCAATCTGACAACTGTGAGGCCACATTTGGTCGTGTCCTGGTGGGCCTGTAAGGACCACTAGCCTAAGCTTGGGCCTGGCTAGAGTGCCAGGGGGGTGGGAGGGCATGGCAGGCTGGACCCCTGGGAATCTCTGTCCTGCTCTTTAGTTGGGCCTCCTGGAATTGCTCCCTTTGCCTGAATTCCATAAGTGGCTTTGGGCCAGGCCATCAGAAAAGACAGAGGAACACTGTAGGACAGAGCTGGGAGAGCATGCCCTGGGCGGCAAGGGGGCATCAAACGTTTTGGAACCAAAAAAAAAGCAGAAAGCTACGAGGAAGTGAATCATAGTAGCTCCAGGCCCCTGTGAGTGAGGTCAGATCAGTTCGATTCCAGCACTGCTGGCAACATAGGAGGCGCCGTCACTGCTGGGCTCTGGACCCTGTGGCCTGGCCCCTTGGAACATCTTCCCCGGGAGCAGGGGTCCTTGGACAGGCTGTTGTAAGGCTCGTCTGGAAGCCACGGCCCAGGTCTGGGCACCTGCCTGGTGCCCTCAGCTGGGAGGCCTCTCTGGCAGAGGCGGCGGCGTGGGATGTGGTCCAGTGTCCACAGCAGCCCGAGGCGAGGCGTCCCCTTGCCCCGGCTCTGCAGCGCCATGGGCTCGGGTCCTGTCCGGCTTGCTCGCTCACCTGCCTTGTTCTGTTTGTTTTGGCTGCTCTGCCTTGCCCTGCCCTGCCCTGCCCTGGCTGGTTAGCTGCCCCGCTCCGCACTGGGAATGGCAGCTCGGTGCCTGAAGGACGGAGCTCCCGGGACAGAACAGCCCCCTCTGCAGGCATGCAGCCCCAGCCTTCTCTCTGCTCCTCAGCCAGTAAGTGTGAGGGAGGCACATTCTGGCTTCCGTCTCCCTGGCTCGTCCTGAAGCCCCTCAGGGACCCCCACCACAGCTGTCAGCCCGGCCCAGCTGCCCATGGTAGTAAGCTCCGGGAGCATGGCCTCTGCTAGGGGTGGGGGGTCAATTGGAGGTGCTGTTGAGACCAGGCAGGGGCCCCTGAGTCTGGGGCCCAAAGAAATATGAGAAGAGTGGGTGGAAGAACATGGCCTGGGGTGGGGGGAGTAGAAAGTCCCCAAGATGTGCAGTGGACCTTGCCTCAGCGCCGAGCCAGGAAGAAGGGCAGAGTCGGAAGTCAGGTCTGTGAGGGTGGGAGTGGGGTGATGGGGAAATCGTGACAGCAAGGAACTGTGTTGGGGATGTAGTGCTTCCTGAGTCTCAGCATAACATATTAAGAGCATAGGGTCAGAGGCAAGACAGATCTGAGTTTAAATCCCAGATACACTGCCTTCAAGAGTGTGAAGTTTAACCTCTCAGAGCTGCAGGTTCCTTATCTGTAACGTGGAAATAAAACGGCCTGCACCTCAGAGCCTTATTGGAAAAAAGACGAGGCAGTAGGAAGTCTTGATACGGTGCCTCACTGGGTTGTCAGGGGCTCATCCTCATATTTCTAGTTACATCTGTGCTGGAGGATGCCTGTGTTTGCTGCCTTTCCTCCCACCATCTATCCTTGCAGAGTTTCTAAGCACAACCCTCTTCACTCGTGGGGCCCCAGTCAGGTCATCCAGATGGGTCTGGTGGGTTGGAGAGGGTGTGTGTGTTGTGGGTGCACACCTGCCTGCTGCTTTAGGAAGCCCATCTAACTCCTTGCTTCCCTTAACCTGCTGCTTGCTCACCTGGAGCTGCAGCCTAGCAGGGCTGATGACTGTGGGGCTCCCTCCTGGATGTGCCTTTGGCTGCGCTGCCCTGTCCCAGCTGTGCTGCTTGGCTGTGCTGGCCTGGCCAGGCCATGGTGGTGCTGTTCTAATGCTTTCAGTTGTCTTGCAGCCTTTCACTCCTGTGAGGAAAGGGTTGTGGCCTGGGCCAACCCAGGGCTCGGGTTAAGATGAGCCCAAGCTCAACCCACGCTCTCCTTTACCCTGGCGGCAGCCCCTGCTGATAGTGGCATTCCCTATAAGAGAAGCCCAGGGCAGCAGGACATCACCAGCTGTCCCTTGGCTTGGAATGGGTTGGGGAGGAAGGCTCTGGAGGGCACCACCTCTGCCTGCCTGTCAGTCTGAGCCCTGTCTGGTTTTCCTGAGGAACACCTCCTGGCATGAGAGCTGGTGTGAAATGTACAGCTTTCCCAAGCCTTGAGAGGTAAACGGAGCAGCCTCTCTGGTACAGGCTGTCACAGGTTTTTACAATTCCGGGATCATTTCTCCCAGAAAAGCCCTGTGGAGTTGATGAGCAGTGGGAAGCATCCATCCTAGGGCTCTGATGGTCCTTTGGCACCCCAGCCCTAGCTGCATTCTGCTGTCAGGCTGCCTGTCGCCCAGGGCTGGATCCTGGCCACTGAATGAGGGCTAAGAGTGGGGGTGGTGATTGAGACCTGACTGAGCCCCTTCAGGTGAGAGAAGTAAATTGGGGGTGGAAGCAGCCTGATTGAGAGATGCTTGTGAGAGAGGCTGCTCATACAGGGGAGGGGCTCACAGCATTCACGATGTACCAGGCTCCTCACCTGTTAAAGGCAAGTGTGTTTTCTGCAACCTGGTTGTTGATAGAGCGGGAGGCCAAGGCCAAAGAACCATAACTAATGGCTGGGCTTCAGGAGGAAGTGGTCATTGTGTCTGCAGACTGCAGAGAGGGAGATGGAAGGGAAGGTGGGTTCGCTCTTCTGCCAACGGCCCTAGAGACAGAGAAGAGGGATGTCTTTGTCATAAGTGATCACAGGGGACTCCTGAGGACTGGGGAAGGCTCTCTGTCACTTAGGAGGTACCCCAGTAGGTAAATTGATGGATTTTTCTCCCCCACAGTGAGAAAACAGGAGATCATTAAGATTACAGAACAGCTGATTGAAGCCATCAACAATGGGGACTTTGAGGCCTACACGTAAGTAGAGACCCATTTTTTTTTTGTGACCTAAGTCATCTCCCAAGGCCTTCCCTGCTTCCAGACAACAATTAGGACCCTGGGGAAAGGGAATTTGGACCTTGGGCAAAGTATCTGAGTTAAGCCTTCTCCTAAGCTGGGAGCCCTTTCAGGTAGATTCCCTGAGCTCACCCACGGTGTCCTGGTGGTGGGCCAAAAGCACAGGGCTGAGTGGCTCAGCAGGCAGGCCTGGAAGATCTTCGCTGTCTTGTGTGGGATGGCCACAGCTAGCCTGCTGGTACTGGATAGACACTGCTGATAAGGAAGGAAGACAAATCGCTCCACAGAAGCCTGATAGGCTGCTTTTTTGTTTTTTCTCCCTGCAGGAAGATTTGTGATCCAGGCCTCACTTCCTTTGAGCCTGAGGCCCTTGGTAACCTCGTGGAGGGGATGGATTTCCATAAGTTTTACTTTGAGAATCGTGAGTGGGTTCGTGCTGCTGATATACTCCTGCCTGCCCCTTCACCCCTTTGCCTCTGTCTCCTGCTCACCTCCTCATCCCAGTTGCCCACTTTTCCCTTATTTGACCTTCATGCTGCACTCCTACTCTGTATGCTTGCCCCTTTGTGCCCCAATGGTTGTAAACAGGCACCTTTGAAGGCCCTGCTCTGAGCCCCAAGTGCCCGTTCATTCCACAGCTGCCTTGTGGCAGTCCCAGTCACCACAATCAAGTTCACTTATTTCTTGCCGAGCACGGTGGCTCACGCCTATAATCAAAGCACTTTTGGGAGGCTGAGGCTGGCGGATCACGAGGTCAGGAGATCAAGACCATCCTGGCTAACACGGTGAAACCCCATCTCTACTAAAAATACAAAAAATTAGCCAGGCGTGGTGGTGGCGCCTATAGTTCCAGCTACTTGGGAGGCTGAGGCAGGAGAACGGTGTGAACCTGGGAGGCGGAGCTTGTAGTGAGCCAAGATTGCGCCACTGCACTCCAGCCTGGGCAACACAGCGAGACTCCATCTCAAAAAAAAAAAAAAAGTTCACTCATTGCTTTAAGCCTCACCTCTTTCCAAGATGGATTGTAAGGAAACCCTTTGAGATTAGGTTGAGATGATCTCAGCACGTAAGAACTAAGCTCTGTGTCTGCAGGTTTCAAAATAGAGGAAATTAAAACCAGGATAAGAATGTGCAAACCAGGGTACTCTTGGTGATTTGTGAGATCGGAAGTTGTGGCTAGAATCTTCCTGACTATGGAGGAAGGCAGGCGTCCTGTATGGGGGGTAGGGTGTACATTCTGGCCAGTTCGTGGAAGATAAGGGGATAAGAAGCTGAATCATCACCCCCTCCCATCTTTCTGTCTACTCTATGAGACCCTCCCCTTCCTTATTTTTATCTCTTCCCACTTTATGCTGGGCCTTCCCTATCCTGCCCTGAGTTATAGTTAGTCACTAACTTCTCTGCTGACTCCCACCCTTATCACATCTCAGCTGCATATATAAACTCTCAGTTATCTAAGTAATTCTATTAGCCAGAAGCAATTCCAGAGTTTATATTAATTCTAGGAAGGTGACATGTAGCCCCTGTCTAACATTTGAATTGAACTAAAATGTGAATCTCAATAAAAGCAACACAGTTTTCACAGCATATGCTGATAATGGCAATCCAACTTCTTTTGCCTTTTCCCCAGGGAATCCTGGGAATATCCTAAGCTTGGTGCTTTGGTGATTCTCTTTCAGCTTTGGTGCCTTAAAAAAAAAATTACAAATCAATTTTGAATGGTTTAAGTTCATGATTTTGTTCTGCAGCCCTAGCTAGGGGCGAGCCAAGCCTTTTGAATTCTAAACTCAGCCTAACAAAACAGAAAATCTGTAGGCTTCAGTTAGAGTCACATGGTCCTGAGTTCAGGTGTGTGATTTGAGCAAATTATTCCTTGAACCTATTTCCTCATCTTATAATGAAGAAAATATTATCCAGCAAGAAATACAGCTCAGGCATGTAAAACCCCAGCACAATGCCTGATTAAAAGAGCAGCAGCTACTATCATTGTTGCCCATCTTTCTGTTCCTTTTGGATAAAGAAGACTAATGTGATGTGGTATCCTGGCCTCTGGAGGGCGTTTGGCGGGGGGACTTGGAGATTCTGGGAATGGTTGCCCGGGAGTTGGTAAGACTTGGAAGTGCAGGCTGGGAGGAAAATGCAGGTGCCCAGGCCTGATGTCCTCTTACCTACCCCACCCTGCCCTGTAGTCCTGTCCAAGAACAGCAAGCCTATCCATACCACCATCCTAAACCCACACGTCCACGTGATTGGGGAGGACGCAGCGTGCATCGCCTACATCCGCCTCACCCAGTACATCGACGGGCAGGGTCGGCCTCGCACCAGCCAGTCAGAAGAGACCCGGGTCTGGCACCGTCGGGATGGCAAGTGGCTCAATGTCCACTATCACTGCTCAGGGGCCCCTGCCGCACCGCTGCAGTGAGCTCAGCCACAGGTGCACCTGGTTGAGGGGGGAGAGGGGCTGGGAGGGCCTGGGACAGGTGGGGTCAGAGGAAGAAGAGAAGGCTGGGAGGTGGCCCTGGGAGAGGAGGTGTGGGCCATCCCAGAGGATTGGCAAAGGCTGGTAGAATGCTTGTAATAAGTTGTGCTCGGAAATCAGACAGACTGGGGTCTGGCTCCGTGACTCCAAATTGGGTGACCTCAGGTTACTTCCCCTCCCTAAACTCAGTCTCCTTAGCTGTCAAAGAGAGGCAGAGAGTGGTGCCTACCTCATTTAATCATTGTGAGGATTAAGTAAGATACTATAAGTAAAGCACTTAGTAAGTGCTCAGCAAATGGGAGGCAGTTTTGTATTTAAGCATTAGCTTCACCCACTTTCCCCACCTTCTCAGGCCTACTTGGCCACGTGTTTAGCGTGCTAAAGTCGCTGGAACTCATCTGTGTGCTCATTGTCCTCTGTTCTGTTACCACATTCTGTCCTGTTTGACAGGGGCATTAGGAGATTCCAGCCAGAGGTCGAACCTTCGCAGCCAGTGGCTCTGGAGGGCCTGAGTGACAGCGGCAGTCCTGTTTGTTTGAGGTTTAAAACAATTCAATTACAAAAGCGGCAGCAGCCAATGCACGCCCCTGCATGCAGCCCTCCCGCCCGCCCTTCGTGTCTGTCTCTGCTGTACCGAGGTGTTTTTTACATTTAAGAAAAAAAAAAAGAAAAAAAGATTGTTTAAAAAAAAAAAAAGGAATCCGTACCATGATGCGTTTTAAAACCACCGACAGCCCTTGGGTTGGCAAGAAGGCAGGAGTGTGTATGAGGTCTATCCTGGCATGAGCAGCGGGCTGACCCACTGGCCTTGAAGAGGTGAGCTTGGCCTCTCTGGTCCCCGTGGACTCAGGGGGACCAGGCAAGAACTCTGACAGAGCTTTGGGGGCCATGATGTGATTGGAGCTCCTGAGGTGGCCTGCTTACCCCAGGTCTAGGAACGGACTTCTTTGGAACTTGCATAGGCGCCTAGAATGGGGCTGATGAGAACATCGTGACCATCAGACCTACTTGGGAGAGAACACAGAGCTCCCAGCCTGCTGTGGAGGCAGCTGAGAAGTGGTGGCCTCAGGACTAAGGGCCCGGACGTTGATGTGTACTGTCTCATTTAGTGTAGAAGGGAAGAGAATTGGTGCTGCAGAAGTGTGCCCGCCATGAAGCTGATGAGAAACCTCGTGTTAATCTGACATGCACTCACTCATCCATTTCTATAGGATGCACAATGCATGTGGGCCCTGATATTGAGGCCTTATCCCTGCAGCTAGGAGGGGGAGGGGTTGTTGCTGCTTTGCTTCATGTTTTCTTCTAACTCAGCAAGGAGAGAGCCGGGCCCTGGTCAGGGCTCCCGTGCCGCCTTTGGCTGTTCTGTTTCTGTGCTAATCTGGACCATCTTTGTCTTGCCTTTTCACGGTAATGGTCCCCATGCTGACCCTCATCTGGGCCTGGGCCCTCTGCCAAGTGCCCCTGTGGGATGGGAGGAGTGAGGCAGTGGGAGAAGAGGTGGTGGTCGTTTCTATGCATTGAGGCTCTCTTCGAGGCTGCCTCCCTTTTTATTCTTCCTTGCTGCACGTCCATCTCTTTTCCTGTCTTTGAGATTGACCTGACTGCTCTGGCAAGAAGAAGAGGTGTCCTTACAGAGGCCTCTTTACTGACCAACTGAAGTATAGACTTACTGCTGGACAATCTGCATGGGCATCACCCCTCCCCGCATGTAACCCGAAAGAGGTGTCCAGAGCCAAGGCTTCTACCTTCATTGTCCCTCTCTGTGCTCAAGGAGTTCCATTCCAGGAGGAAGAGGTCTATACCCTAAGCAGATAGCAAAGAAGATAATGGAGGAGCGATTGGTGATGACCTTGGTTTCCCTCAAAACAACACTGCAGATTTATCTGCACAAACATCTCCACTTTTGGGGGAAAGGTGGGTAGATTCCAGTTCCCTGGACTACCTTCAGGAGGCACGAGAGCTAGGAGAAGAGGCAAAGCGACAGGTTTACTTGGGAGCCAGCTGAGAAGAGAGCAGACTCAAAGGTGCTGGTGCTTGGATTTAGCCAGGCTCCTCCGAGCAGCTCATGCATGTCCCAGCCCCTGGGCCCTAGCCCTTTCCTGCCCTGCAGTCTGCAGTGCCAGCACGCAGATCCCTTCACCACAGGGTTTCGTTTTGCTGGCTTGAAGACAAATGGTCTTAGAATTCATTGAGACCCATAGCTTCATATGGCTGCTCCAGCCCCACTTCTTAGCATTCTTACTCCTCTTCTGGGGCTAATGTCAGCATCTATAGACAATAGACTATTAAAAAATCACCTTTTAAACAAGAAATGGAAGGCATTTGATGCAGAATTTTTGCATGACAACATAGAAATAATTTAAAAATAGTGTTTGTTCTGAATGTTGGTAGACCCTTCATAGCTTTGTTACAATGAAACCTTGAACTGAAGATATTTAATAAAATAACCTTTAAACAGTCGATTGTGTTACTGCTGTTGGAGGTTTACGGCCAGAGGCATAGATTTTAGCAGCCTGGGTTACCAGGTTGGAGAGAGGTACCTCCTCCTACTCCCATTGGGGCCTTTTGAGAATAAAACGTCCTCATGCCTGTAATCCCAGGCATTAGGAGGTCGAGGCGGGCGAATCACGAGGTCAGAAGTTCGAGACCAGCCTGGCCAACATGGTGAAACCCCTTCTTCACTAAACACAAAAAATTTATCTGGGCGTAGTGGCGGGCGCCTGTAATCCCAGCTACTCGGAAGGCTGAGGCAGAAGAATCGCTTGAACCCGGGAGGGGGAGGTTGCAGTGAGCCGAGGTCGCGCCACTGCACCCCAGCCCAGGGGACAGAGTGAGATTCCGTAACAGAAAAAAAAAAACAAAAAACGAAAAACAAAAAACTTCCTCATAACCTCCAACCAGCGCTCGGGTGCTGCGGAGGCGAGGCGGGGCGGGGAGGGGAGGGAGGGTGAGTGCCCTGGGATTTGGTCAGCTT